CCGCTCCGCGCTCCGCTCCGCGCCGACCTGTGGCTGCCGCAGCCCGGGCCGGCCCCGCGGAGCCGCCGCCCCGCCAGGCCGCGCCGCGCTCACCCCCGCTCTCTGTCGTCTCTCCCGCAGAAACGCTTCATTAAGGGACTGAGGCAGTACGGCAAGAACTTCTTCAGGATCCGAAAGGAGTTGCTGCCCAACAAGGAGACCGTGAGTGCCTTTGCGCTTTACCTCGCTCGCCTTTTTATCTCCCACCGTTTGCAGCGTTTGATCTCGCGAAACTATTTCCGTCCTGGCCCCTGAATCTGCTTGGGTAAACGCCGGAAAAAAGGGAAAAATCCGGAGCTAACAAAGGTCGCTGTGATTTTGAGGGTGTTTTTTTAGGTCTGGCGGGCGAGCGGCGTTACATAAAATAGCTGCCGCTGGAGTCGCCGTGTTGGACGAGGGGTGGTTATGGAGCCCGGTCTAATTTTACGTTCTGACATTAAGAGGGGGGATAATGCTGCCGTGTCGCCAAGTTGGGCTCAAATGGCAGCGGGTAATTAAAGGAAGCTGAAAACAAACCAGAATCTAATTGAATCGGGAAGGGAGAGGCTTCTGCGGAGCTGCCGCTTCGGAGGTTTCGTTTAACCCCTTGGTGGCCCCAGCAAGTGCGCGGCCGAGGCACAACTTTCCTTCCTGGCCTCGTCCGTGGCTCCGCTGAACTTGGCCGAGCTCCGGGGCTGCCCAATTCCCGTGAAATCCTGGGGGTCCTCGGGAAGGAGGTGGCGCGGGACGGGCGGCCGACTGCCGCGGGGACGGAGGGCTCGGGAAGCCGGGAGTCTAGTTAGTTTTCTATGAGTCCTAAGTGCCCGGCTTCTCTGGAAGCTTCGGTTTCTGTTCTGCAGGTGTCACGGAGCTGCTGAGGGCGGGGGGGTTGGAAAGCAGCTTTGGTGTTTGCCCTGAATTTAGGGAGGGTAATAATTAAAACAGAGTTACAGGGACTCTCCCGGTAGCTGATAATAACACATTTGTGTCAGCGATCCAGAAAATACTTGTTTAAAGCGTAACCAAGGTGGGTGCTGAGTTGTTTTTTTGTGCATAACTTGGGCGTTCAGCAGGCAAGGTTACTATAAAATAGTTTAAATCATTGAAGCGTTTCCCAGCCTCTCGGCTTGTGCGTAGCACGTTCCCCATGTCCTTTGCCGCGACGGGGTACGGAGGCATCGCGACCTTTGGCTGGTAAATGTTTAATAACGCCGAGCGGGCCAGGGGCGGGCGCGAGCCTGGACTTTGCTTTGGAAGGAATTCGGGGCACGAAGGCCTGGAGCTGGACGAGGAGCCTGGAATCGTGTTCTGCTTAGCCAAGGGAACCGAATCCGGCCTGCAGGGAGCCTCGTCGGGGCCCCGCTCCTCGTTAGGGTGACTGGCAGCAACGTATTTAGGGTAAATTGATGTTTAATTTAGAACCGGGTTCCTCTGGTAGTAGAGTTGCTGCAAGATGAGTTATTCTGTCAAAGTTTGTTTGCAGTCGGGGCTGCTCTGCAATAAGCTTTCAGACACGAAGTGGGTGTTTGCGGAGGAGAAAAGCGGTTGGCAGGAGAGGGGAAAATCCAGGCTGAAGAGGTGGTGCTCGGGGACGTCTGCGTGGCCCCGCAGGCCCCTCTGAGCTGCTTCACGTTGGCACCTGGGCCTGGAGAGCAGCCCCGTGGCTCGGGCAGAGGCATCTCAAGGGCTGGGTGCCCTTTGAGTCTTACATTTTGTTGTGTTGGGCCTGAATTTTTGGTGCAGAGACGACAAAGCATTAAGTTTGAGCGAGGGCTGCACCCCGTGGTAGCCCCTCGTGGTAACTGATCCAGGGATCCCAAGGGGAGCCTTTGGCCTGCTGCAGGTTGCTTACTCTCCGTTTCCTATTTTTGTTCCTTTCTAATGTCCCCAATCTCAAGCTCATAAAATCTGCAGTAGTTTTGCTCTATTAAAATATGCAGAGTAAAGAATCTAGTAAATGATCCTTGACTCCCCAGTTGTGCTTGCCCTCATAGGATGGAATAAGGATCGTTGCTGATCACAAGGCACTAGAATTAACTTGGCTGTTTTTTTTTTCACCACTTTGCCTGCATGCTTCTATCACAGCATGAATTAACCACCTAGCAATCCCAGAAATGCTAGAAAAAAAGGCCTTATTTCCCTTTTTAGCCACCGTATTAACGCGAGCTGAAACTCGGACTAAAAACAGTTGCTTGCACACAAGAGATCTCCTGCAGCAACTCCCGGGTCCTGCGGAAGCTTCTCTGAAACATGGGGGACGTTCCTGAAGTTACTTGCCCTGAATGCAAACCAGGCTCTGGGTTAACTCAGCCTCTGCAATTCTAATTTATTAGAGTTAACCTAACTAGTCACTGAAGGCTGAGTGAGGAAAGCCAGGGCTTTTCCCTCTCGGAAAAATCCACTTAGGTTAAATCTCTTTAATATCATGCTTCTTGTATAATGCCCGCCTTTTCCAGACGTTTCTGTTGATGCTGTTCTTGCTGGGGGCAGCTCTCCCCAAAACCTCCCTAAGCTGCAGCTGGAGCAGCGCAGGGCGGCGGGTGAGGGATGGGAGGGAAATATGGGATAAAAATAATGACCAGGCCCTTTTTTATATGAACCGGGGTTGGTGCTGCAGCGCAGGAGGCCGGGATGGGGACATGCCTCTTGCCTTACGCTGCTCCATGTTGATGATCCATGATGGAAGTCCTGGGTTTGGCAGCTGCCCAAATGGGACCTCGCGCTATGGGGTCACTGCTTGCGCTGGAGCAGCCACCAGGGCCAGCAGGTTTGGGCTTTGTACGTGTGGCTCCTGCTTTGGGTTTGCTGGAAATCTGGTAATGCAGGACACTCGAAGCATTAAATGTTCTCCTTAGTGCCCGAATTCCTGAGGTGATTACACGGAGCTGCTTGGCTTGGAGACCTTCAGAAGTGCTGCCTGCGCCATAGGCCCGAGATAAGTAGCCTTAAATGCCTGCAGGGTTGGAGCTGGGCTGCCTAGGGACCTAGAAACAGCAGAGGGTAGAGAGAGACACGGGACGAGGATAAATGCAAGGACGAGCACCCCGTGCACATAAAGCAAGGAGGAGAGAGGCCCGACGGAGCTGCCGGGTTGTCCAAATGGAGAGCTGGGCCCAGAGCCACCCTGTCAGATGGCAGGTCCCTCGGCAGCCCCCCTCAGGGTGCAGTGTCACAGTTGTCTTGAGCTCCTTAAGGCTGTTCTGCCACAAAGTCCTAGGCTGCTTGGGGTGACACACGTGAATGTGGTGAGATTCTTGAGTGGCTGCTATGGGCTTCTTCAGCAGAGGGCTGTGTGCCGTGATGGGGACCGGGTGTCCCTGCATGTCTCATTCTTGGTGATTGAGCCTCGTGGGGAGCCTGGCTGAGCTGCGGGCTGGGAGGAGGACAGTGGATCTTGGTAGAGCACATAGGCTTCAGCATGAAGCTCTTTGGAGCTTCTCTGCTGAGCACACAGGCATCTTCGGGGTGTGTGAACGTTGGTTTGGCTGCTGAGCAGGAGCTGGCAGAGCGTAACCTAAAGGTCTCGCCTCTGGGTGGGTGAAGCTGTATTTAGCTTTGAAACCCAGTGCTAATAAAAGCCACGACTATCGACTACTTTCCTTGGATCAAAATACCTGTAATGCATTCCATTGTTTATGCTCCCAAGAGCTAAATATGCTCGTTTTCTTCTTTAGGAAAAATATTCGTTCTTCTGGCAGTAAAAAACCTTCTGCCCAAATTAAACGCTGTTGGGACTTATCTCAGAGACTAAATAAGCTGCACTCTGTTGACGTTAGGAGACAAAATGTGTGCAGTGTGAGCTTCAGCATAAACTTCTGTTTAATTTTAGATGGGGCTTCAGATAAACAATTTTATTCTTGCCTCATGAATGCTTAATCTTGTGTTACATAATACACAATATTGGCTTCCTGAGCAGCTCTTAAATACAGTCTAAATGTGCGGTGGCTGGAAGGTGGAGCCTGGCACCGCGTTCGTCCTCGAGCCGTCGGTACCCTCTGCTGTTCGTGTCGGCAAACAGAGCGATTTGTGCCCAGCGCTCACGGGCACGTTGAAGGCGATGGTTCTCCCTCAGCGCAATTGTTCACATAGCAATTTTACTTGATTAAAAAAAAAAAAAAAGTGTAATAATTAGGTGAATGTACTCTAGTCCCTTAGTGTGAAGTGATGAGTTAGCTCCACATTTGTTTTTTTTAATATTTACATGTAATGGCCTAACTTATTTTCACCAGTGGCCGAGTTCCGTTGCTTGGGTGCTGTTACTCCCTGTGCTCCTTTCCCAGAGGAAGCACGTTTTGCCCAAGCGCTCCATTCCCTTGCATCCCGATGGGATATAAATGCACGGCGTGGACCTGGCACGTTTCTTTCTGTTTTCTCTCTGTTACAGGAGTGTTCAAACAGGGACGAGCACTTCAAGCCCTCTCTGTTTGCAAGCCGAACCTTTTTCCTTAGTATAACTCGCTCCAGCCTGGATGCAGGCAGAGCTGAAATTTTCCATTAGGGTTTGAAGCAGCTGCCAACGTAAACAGCCACTGCTGCTTTTCATTTCGGCACTGCTCGTGCTCCTATCGTACGGATATTGCACTTGGAAGGTTTTGTTAGAACAGGGGCTAGGCTCGGAACTTAGAAGCGAGAACCCGAGACTTATTTTTTTCCCTCTTTTCATCCCTCAGAGCAGAGATCCTCTGGGCTTCAGTTTTACAAATCAGCCTGATTTTTCACGCAAGCGAAACCAGAGGTTCCTCTGCATGAGCAACAGCTCAGAACGCACTTCCCTTTTTTATTTTTATGCGTTTATGAACTGCGTGACTCGCTCAGCTGATGTACGGGGCCACTGTGTTAGTAGGTTGGGCTAGAAGATAAAGCAGGGGGCTGAGGCAACGGGCTGCTTGGGATCGGGCTCCATGACGGAGAGGGATGCGCATGCCAGGGAATTGCAGGAAGTGCTGAACTAGAGGGCCATGCTTCTGGATCTAGGCAGTGCTGACCTGGAAGCTGCTTGCAAAGAGCATTATTGTGCATATTCGGTGCGGGTCTTCGCTGTGATTTGGCTTGATTTTAGCAGTTTAACTGGTAAACCTATTACAAATGTCACTTTTATTGGTTAATAAAGCAGAAGGTTTGAAAATTCTTCAGAGAGATAGAATGTCTTAGATTTACCTCTGCTGTCCACCGTGTCTTTGTTA